AGGCATAACATGATTGTCAGCCTTAACACACTACTAATTTGTACCTATACAATATCTGGAAAAATTACAGTATCTGAAAATAYGTATTTTTCAAGTCTGTGCTAATTCTAATTGTTGAACCTACTTGTTCAGAAAAAAATATCCAAAKTAAGCTACTGTCCAACTTGTAGTCAACCACCCGACGGGACTAAAGAGAATGTTGAGGAAAACCACAATCCTAAAAAATTGATCATTTTGAAAATAACACCAAAACATCACACTTGAGAACTCCAAACTACAGATTTTTAAAATGTTTTTATGTACTAATGAAAAAGAGTCATACTCTAAAGCATATTATATGATACCATTTTCTTTTTTCATGTGTGCTGAAGTGTATCATCATGGTTGTTCACACAACATCTATGACACTGAATTAAAAAATTTACACAGAAATATGTAAATGGCAAATTAAAGTAAAATTAAGTTCTTCCTTTCCCTCCCTCACTCATCAAAAATAAAAAATTTAGATYAGTTGTACTCTCTGGTAGACAGATACTATATTGCTGCTAACCAATAAATTGGAAAAGTGAAGAGATTTCTCGAATTTCCTCTTTTGTGATAGCAACATTGGCACAGCACTAACTTCTAACAGTTCCAGAATGAATTGTAAAATAGCATGGTATCTCACAAAACTCAAAATAYTAATTCTTAATCTCTTCCCCTCTCCCACCATCCCCAAAGTATTTTTACTTTGAAAAATGTAATGATTTAGCAGAATTTGAAAGCGGAAGGTTTAAAAAAGTGATAAAGGGGGTGCAGAAATTAGCAGAGGTGGCACTACCTGAAAGCTCATCAGAAAGGGGAGTGAGAACAATATCAGGCAAGAAGGGTTTGGAAGTATGGATCAGAACAGGAGCACTTTTAGCACTGCGTATATAGGCCGATGGCAGAGCACATTCACCAATGGATCGGCTTCTCATGGCTTTAAAAAGGAAAAGAAAGAAGTGGGGAAGGAAAAAAGAAGAGTGACTATAATGAAAGGCTTGTGTCACAGAAAAAGCAGCAACAGAGAAAACAAAGATAAAAAGGAAGAAAATTCAAAAATTAAAACATTTCAGCACGGCAGATATTGGCAGAGCTGTAAGAAAGAAAAAAATCAGTGGACACATAAGACATTCTGAGTTTTCAACTTTTATGTAAAGCAGCAACAATGCCTTTATCATGACAWTTAGAGATTTTGCATTTGAAATCAAGAAGCTAATTAACACATTTTCCCACTGCATCAGGGGTTGAAAAATCAAAGTTAAAGTTACTCCACAAGCATTTTGAATTTGATTTTTTTTAACAGAAAATGTTACATGTACTCTATTTGCATTTTTCTAGTTTCCTTTGATTTTATCCTGAAAATGCATCTCTGTATTACACATATACCCATACTCTTGAATTCATGTTCTCCAAAAGAGATTCAAAATCATAAGGAGAAAATGATCAGTTCTGTGTGGACAAATTGCAATAAARCTTGTTATAGTTCCATATTAAAAATGAAATGACTGAAGTGAAATGGTTTGACAATGAAAAGCATTATATCRTTTTATCCATGGGGTCTGGCTTTTAATTGATACTGGATAAATCTTCGTAAACTGATGTTAATTCACCTTTTCAAATCTTACATTCTGCCAACATTCCTACAGAATACTTACGTAAGAATTGTGGTATTACAACCAAGGTTATATCTGCAGCTTTTCTAATAGATTTAAATGAACRTTTGGCATTTGTTCTTGTCAGAGGAAGACGTAGCAAGAACTGGTACTGCTTTCAAACTCAAAGTACACTAGAAGTTCTTCAAAAAGTAATATTCAATGTTTCAAGCAGCTTCCTTTTAAACTGTAAATTTGCTGAGTTGCTTTAAAATTATTGCTGATAAAATTCTTTAAGGAACATATTACATAAATATTGTCAGTGCAATACCTAATCAGTCTAACTTTCTCTCTGTATATATATTTTCAAAACAGTGCTCCTGATCTGCATGAGAATCAAATGTACATGAATGGAGTGCAGTGAAAGTTGAGCACATCACACTTCTAAACCAGATTAAAGAATTGTTCCTAATAACAACATGCAGATAACCCAGGTAGGTCACATAGAGCAAAAAATACATTTGACAAATGCAGCACAACTTAAGTGGAATCTTAAATTCAATTTAAAAAAACAATTCAGAAAGACAGGCTTTTAAGACTGAAGCAATAGGCTAGTAAACTTTGTAAAACAGAAGCTATTTTTAAAAAAAAGGCTATCACATGTAAGGTTTTAGTATCAGTTTGTTTAAGAGACACAGTAAAAAAATTCAGGATACAGTTATAGTTAGATGCATTACATTCATCACTGTGAATCTTAAAATGATTGCAGGAAAGAGAAAAAAAACAACTACATAATAAATATGAAGCATCTTTTCCAGCCTAAATGGTTCTAAATAAATCAAGCTTTTGATATTGGATACTGTGTTGATTACAAATCTTAATATTAAGTGTTCCTTTTAATTTGACTGGATTTTTTCCTCAATTAAATAGATAGRTGAATGCAGACTCAGAACATGGACTAGATATTTGATAGTTTATAACCTTTCACTACTCRTTACACAAAAGCAGAACAATAGGTAAGTAAATCCTTTCTGATAAAGTATTTTTATAGGACTAGACCCTGCTGCCTAAGCCAAAACTTCTGTAGCTATCCCTAGAGAAGATTTTTCAACCCATATGCATACGTTTAAAGGCCCTTTCCAAAAATTACTTTACATAAGTTCAGGCTAAAAATGTACACACTGCATATCAAAAAAGCTGTGATTTTTATTTGAGTAGCACGCACACACACATATTTGGTGCAGCAATAAATGTGTGCTGGTATGATGATGGCTCAAAAAATAGAGGTGCACAGATGTACACAAAAATGTGTACAACATAAAACAGATGAAAAGGAAACCCCAGCTTTTTSTTACCATAAAATATTCAACATGCACAACCCCCCCTACTCAGATATTAAGATTATATATTACTCACAATCAAAGRGAATGTACTACATATCAGATATTATGCAATATATTTAAAGTCTGACTCAATTCCAGACTTAGCTTGCAAACCTAATGATAAACTGAAGGAGATCTGACTGGGAAAATGTTCTAGATTTTACTTATTGTGACTATTTTTCTATTATTTGACCCTGAATTAATGGCACAAATTAAGAAACAGCTGAACAGGTCTCTTCACAGACCTAAGAGGCAATACCAACCATTTCCAGGCAGTTAAGRCATATGCAACATTTTGCAACATACTCCTCATTAACCTTAAAAAAACCTGAGGAACTTGGGATTCTGGTTCTGACAACACTTTTTGGGCTTATCATCTTTTAAAATCATCCTAACAATGCTGGGATGCTTGTCCACAGTTGATATTCTACAACACGAACAGAAYTGAAATTTTAACTGGTTGCAATAATGCAAACTTGGCTTATTAATACCAAATCTGTAAGATAATTGGAGGAAAGAAACAAAGTACAGTGGAACTAAAGTGCAGTGAAACTAAAATCAGATTACTTTGCTGCTAACCAGGTCAATATATAGCTTGATTAGGATAAATTCCAGTCATTTTAAGGCTAACATCATATAAATAGCCATCTTTCAAATTGCAGCAAAACAAAATCATTAATAAATTGACCAAACAACATAATCTTCTGACACCATTACTATTAATCACAGACCATCTACAGAGAAGTGAAGCAGAAATTACATTTAAAGTATCTGTGATCCATGAGGAGAACTAGGTGCTGTCAGCATGAGATACAGAAAAAGCTGTGTAGCATTTCAATGTGCAAAAAGACATAAAATTTTGGAGTAAGGACTTCATTTTCTCTCATCTCCATATGCCTTACAGGACAATTAATTCTCCCACATCAACAAGAGCATTAGGAGAGAAAACAATTTTTAAGTGGAGAATTTTGAAAAATATTCACAGAAGAAYTTTGTCCAAATAACCTCTTTGACTTAAAAAAATTAACTTCAAATATTTTTGGAAAAAGAAAGAAAATGTTAATTTCTGAAAAGCTAGCACAATTATATATTCAACTGCCAATATGCATCCCCAATTTTTAAAACTGTCAGAATGCACCTACTTCCAGGAAGTATCAGTGAAACAACAATGCAAAATGATCAAAGCCACTACTACTATAAAGATAGTAGAAAGTTAGATATTTCTTAAAAGGTTCTTCTTTTAAATACAAAATTAGAATCATCTTAATTTTCCTTCACATAAGCAAAAGCACTTGATGATCAAGATGAGATAATAAAGAAATTTGTAGTCCAGTTCCTGTTAACATAGTCTAAGAAAATCATATCAACATAAATGAGTCTCCTTTTGATGAGTTCACCTAAAGCGTTGTTCAGCATAACTCATTCATAACACAGCAAAGAGTGTCTGCAAGTAATAAAATTCAGAAATAGGTAATTTCAGAAATGGAGAATTTCACACATCTGTTTCAATCTTTCATGACTGCAATATTCAGAGCATAGTAAAAGAAAGCACATTTTATAAACTATGCAGACTTATATATATTTTTCCCACTTTTCTTTGCACAGTTTGAAAGTAYTCAACCCATCTTGTACAGTTTATGAAAATGCAAACTTAAGAAACCTTCCTACCCACCTACCCACACCATTCCAGCTTGTTTCTTCTTCATATACACACAACAGTATTATTTTCCAATCCAGCTTAAATATGTGATCTAACTCATTAAGAATTAATTTATCAACTGCATTACTTTAATTTGCAGTGACTGTAATTCTAGTAACCACAAGCTTTTCAGCAACCCTCAAAGCACATAAGGCTGCATCATTTACACATTTAACTTATGTGTAAATCATTATAGATAGCATACTTTCATGGGAAGAAGCTATCCACATTGCTACAGAAGTCAGTTATTAATTCCTTACCCTTTCTCAAAYGTCACTTTTATCAGCTCTTACAGATACTTACCAACTGTTTTCTGCCGTACTATGCTTCTTGCCTTTTCTGTTCCTGGAGAGCCAGTGGTTGTAGCACTGCGTTGTCTCATTGGTGCTTGTCCAGGCTGATCACGGCTCCAGCCTCTRGAAAAGGACTTATCAACAGAAGCCTTTGGGAATTCATGCCCAACTCCTGCAACAACAAAATTGCAAATCTATTCACTTCTGTTCTGGTATCACCAGATAATTGTAGATGTGTTTTTTCAAATACTTTTAAAGCTGGATGGAATAAATTAAGTTACCATAGCAAGCATGAATTCAAAAGCTCAGCCAACACCAGCAGTGAGGGATATTCAAACTTTTTCAGAAGTGTTGGTGCTATTAAACTACTGTAATTTTATGAAAAAATGGGCATACAAAGGTTGTAGTCTGATAAAGCAGCTAACTTTTCCTTTGCTGTTCCTACTAGAAAAGATACACAAAGTCATACATTTCAAAACAGTAACATTGTGGATGGTTTTCCAAATAATTTTGCAACATAGAGGAACATGAAATAAAGTATTTTTTCACAAAATGCAAAAGTGAAAAAAACTGGATGATGGCATCAGAGAGCAAGGCTCTTTGGAATTTGACAAAAAATGCTATYGTAAGATGAAGATGGGACAAATTCAGATTTGACATTTATATTGAAATAAATARAGCTCATATAAGGAGCTATCAAAAACTACAGGAAAAAAAGTGAAGAACATTTGCAATGTATTTCCTAATCCATATTGAATTCATTAATAATCCAAACTAACACAATTACAATCATTAAAAGGGCATATTGTTGGAAAAAGTGAGCCCTAGTCCAATATGTTCATTAGTAGTAGTAGTAGTAGCAAATAAATAGGGCCAAAGAAATTTAGCATAACTAGTATAATATCTATTAATTCTAAAGCTGGACTTGTCTCTGCAACTAATTCACATTCAGCAATGGAGGCTTTCTCTGAAACTCTGTATAGCGAAGTTTAACATCAACTTTTCTTGCGTGGCTCAGATGATTCAAAATGTTTCTTTAAGTATATATTTAAATAACTATACAAANNTTTTTTTTTTTTTTTTTTTTTTAACAGTATCTTTTTAGTAAGCAAAAGAAGAAAGCTGTACTGGTCAGGAAAACAAAAAATGCATGGTCTGGAATAACCTCTCAAGGTCATTTACAGAGAAATGTATTTCTGTCCAGTTGTCACACAGCAAAAACAAAAAAAAAGTGTGAATAATGACTCTGCTCAAGATGAGGCATGTGAAATGTTTTTAGCAAAAAAACAGCCTAGAGCATTGTCCTCTTTTAGAGAGGGAATCCACATATATTGCTTCTCATTGACAAACTTTAAGCTACTATTAGGAAACACCTTCCCTCAGGTTTGACTGGAGAAGCACATTAATCAGATCAGAGAGACATAAAAAGCAGACTCAAAATTACATGTTTTACATCTTTATTATTCACTCCAAATATAATCCTGCCTCTCACCATTATATCACAATGCACTTTTTAAAGAAGAATATTAACATTATCCATTTTTACAAAAGTGGAAATGAAGTGATTTCTAATGTTCACATGCAGGTCCGTCTCTAAACTGAGAAAAGAATCCAAGGTTTGCAATCTTCAACCCAGACCTCTATCCAGGAGGAAAAACTTCTTGAGCCTTACCAATTCCAGAACTGTACCATTACAAACAGGCACCTCCCTTCCCCATATTATATCTCATAGAGTATTTTGTTTYTAGGAATCAGTTTAAAATCAGGTATCACTCATGGATTATTAAATTATACTTTCTCTTAAGTAGTCCACAAGGTCATCTTAACAAAACCTGTCTTTACTATGGGCTAGTGCTCAATTACTACCAAACAAAACTATGTTTACTTTACATTTCATCTTGTAGCATTTCAGGATCAATATTCCAGTCATGCTTGCAATGGCCTTATTTTTACCAGATGAGTAGTCTTGTTTATTTTCAAGACGTTATGATTGGGACTCAACAACTTAATTGCTTTGATAAAATGAGAAAGGCTTAACCCACTACAGTTAGCACACTYTTAAGAACTACATTCCATATGTGACTATTTGCAGAAATGAACCTTAACAYGAAGATTTTGTAGTAGTTCTAAAAAGCAGCTTTACCTTAAAGGAACAGGGTTATTTCAGGTGAGAGATGCCTAATCAGGTAGATGAATGTATGCCTAATTAGGTATACAAAAAAAGGTGAGACCAAAATTATCCTGTRCCAAATACCTTATTACACCAGCTAAAATTCAAATGATGTCTGTACAGTGCTGTCTTACCTTTGCCTTTGTGTTTTTTCTGCTTCTGCTCACTTAATTTATCCAATGGCAGGTCACTGAGGTCCAGGCTATAGAGGTTTCTAGCTAATACTTTAGTAAGYGTCTCCATTGTCAGAGACCACTCAGTGGCCAGCTCTTCCCAATATGTCAGTGATGACATCACAGACAGCAAGTCATCCCAAAGTTCTCGAGAAATGTACACATTTAGATTTGCTTTGATCCAAGCYACTATCAGAGTCTAAAAGAATAGAGAAAGTTGGATTGTGAACATAAGTTGACAACATTCAAACGTTATGATTTAAAAGGAAACTTCTAACTGCCAYGGAAATTTCTGGGTAGTTCTGACATTTTTTTGCTCACGAATACACACAGATTTTCAATGAATTATCAACTGTTAACACAGAATTCTGACTTAGATACAGGAACAACTGGTTTGACTCATTATCTTGTGTATTCCTTTTTTGTTCCATTAAAGAAACTGGAGTTTCTACAGATCATAGTCACTGAGAACCCATCACAACAGTATTTTGCAACTACAAACTTTGAAAGGATTTGCTACAGCTTTCTCTAAGAACGACAGAATTCYCTAAGAAATAAAAAATCCATTAGTTAGGCATGGATAACACAGATGATTTCATGCTGACTTGAGTTAATTTTGCTATGGAAGCAAGCTAAAACTGCACACACTGCCAGTTATGCTTGTCAGTTATTCCAACKCAACTAATGGACAGCAATTTTTCAATTTTACAGCACCTCAAATACTTTGTCACAGTGTCATTAAGATACAGGACAGAAAGTAACAAATGTAACCAGCTCTTAGACCTACACCCACATTATCTGGGTAACATACCAGTGATGTAAAATGACAAACTAGGCAACAGTGGTTGCTGTATGTAATCTATTTGTGAAAATTAGGCTGAATTAATTAAAGTCAATTCATGTTTACTTGCCTGGAAAAGAGGTCCTGCAAGTCTTCCAGCTAAAGTGGAGTTTTTTCTTCCTTGATACTGCAAGAAAGTTTGGGGTGGAATTTTCAGCACAGATTCAGTTACTCTGAGCAGCACGAGTAGCATCTGCTCCCTGCAAAACAGTATTAAACTTAGAGTTATCATTTTCCTATAACTCTGTATATACCAAGGTATTTTTAAAGGTTATAATCAAGCCTAATTCCYTCAAACACATTCCAAAAAGGATACAATGTTTACAAAAAGCAGAATTTGGTTCTTGCAAAAGACATTATTCCAATATTTTTTCACACTTAAGAGTGAAGAATCCCTATTGTCCTTGTATCTTCTTCCAAGTCATTCAGTTGCTATCACCTACAATGGCCTGAAATYGGGCAAGTTTTAACTGTATTTTCAATCTGAGGGTTTTTTCCTATGAATTACAGCTTTTGGCAATTTTACATTAACATCCGCATACTTCATCAATTATTTTGTGCATCACAATCTTTGCCATCATGGTCTAGAGTCACTTCTTTACACTGATGTGAAACTGGGAAAGAAAACACCAGTCTAGTAGAATCTTTTCCATTACCCCTCCCAAATTTTGCAATGGCTGCTTTGACTGGCTTCTCTACTGAGGAGAGTTGTAGTAGTGCCAGCTTTACCCAGAGTTCAGGAAATACTACAGACAGATTGAAAACAAGTCAAGCTAGAACGGAGTAAGCAAGACATTTCAGATTCGCTTGCTACTTCTTCCTTGCAATGAAGAATGGTGGCAATACCATTCTACCTGAATACAGACCACTAATTAAAGGAGTGGGAAATAACAGAAATTCCTTTAAAGGGTCTCTTGCACCTGCTAGGCACCATAAGCACTGGAAAGGAACGTACAAGGTACAAAGACTCCTGTGTACAGTTGAGAACAAAACACAACTRATTGCAATAGTTATCCATGCTTATCTGGGTTTTTTTGTTTATTTATAAAGAAGGCTGTGAAGCTTCATATGTTTTCATATTTTAATGCTTTGATACATGAGCAAAATGCCCTGGAAAAAGTCATCACTAGCTCCTTAATAGCAGTCTGTATATCCCAGCTTAGTCAATTTTTCACTGAGGGCTAAGCTGCCACAAATTAACTAGGAGCTTACTATAGGTTTTAAGAGAGCAAATAACCTCTCCTGTGCTAAGTTGTCTGTRATGTTCAAGTCCATGTATTCACGGATCTAGAGAAAACCATTCATATAACCAATACCACTCAGTACTGAGTTTACTACCAAGTAAATTTTCACATATGTCTTGCCAACTAATAATCTAAGATAAAAGCATTAGCATTTTACCATGTCTTCTTGTCCATAGTCACTTGGACTACCATGTGGCGATAGATATTAAGAATGCGTTTGCACATATCAGTGTGTTCATCCAGCAGAGCTTTAAATTCATTTGCAGGTTCAAGAAAGAATATATTTGAAGAATTTATTATAAAAACCTGTAAGCAGAAAAGAGTGGATCTTATGAGCCTGAAGCACTTAGATATTTTCAGTAATTCAGTTCATAGAACCAGGAAGAAAAAATCTATTACAGAATAGAAAAGGTTGCATATGCACACAGAAGTGTATGTTTAAATATGTTAGTTTGAAGAAATYATTAAGCAACAATAAGAGTGATCTTTTCCCTATTTTTTTACCCTAYTTGTATAGTTTTGTTCTTATAGACAGATGGTACAGCAAACTACTCAATATGATTAGTTTAAGATGATAGACAAAAATGTCCCAGWAAAGAAGTCCACTACACAGAAGTTCCACCTGTAAGCCAGCAACTGAACTACTTGAAATAGTCCAGGTACACAGTGTATGCTTCAGTATGACATAGCCTGTATTGTGTTCTGGGAAACTAAAGCATTCATCTCACTGGGATCAGTCAGGCTTACCAAAAGTAGGAAAGAGGATACATTCCCCAAAGTGATTAACTTCAGTGGACAGTGAATTAGGGCCTTCAGAATGAAAATTATGAGAAAAAAAGCAAGCAAGGAGATTGTAGGAGTTTCAGGAGCAGCAGAAGTATTGCACTACATTTCATTCTTCATGGGCTGATAACAAGAGTTTTAGATCATTTTAGATAGCTAATTTAGAYAAAATTAGCTATCAAGTCTGTTTCATACCTGCAATACTGACTGCACTCCAGCTTGTACATTTTGCTCTTCAGCATCAATTTCAGATGTCTTATGCAAAGTGTCTTCATAACAGCCATTTCTTGTCCAGTTTGAATTTCTAACATGACTGGAGTTCATCCCTTTTTCCTGAAAAATATGTTTTCTTAAAATTCCACAGATTTTTAGACAAGGATTTTGGCTTTATATTAAGGGGAAAGGATATAACAGATAACACATAATAAACAATGGCAGGCAAATGCACCTAAAAGACACAACAAAACTTCATTAAGCTTGTAGCAGTTATCTTAAAATACTTGAATGAAATAACTTACTATTTTTGTCATCCTTTTATTTGCATACAATTTTTACAAAGTTGAAAGTTGGCATACTGTAAAACCAACATCTTGAAAATAGTTCACAAAATGATAGGAAATTTTAAATTGAACAAACCCCATTAAAAAGCTACAGATAATGGATAAAATTGGTAGCTTATCCACACAGTATTTTACCATTGATTTTCCCCAATAAATGCTCTGACATTAAAGTAAACCACAYACAAACTACGAAGGAAGCCACTTCGCTGTCTACTGCCATATTGATGCACAAATATTAACCAACAATATTTTACCTCTTCTCTTTCTTTTCCTTTCTCTGATGAATTATGGTCAACATTTTCAGCACAATCTACAGTTGTGCACTGCATTATTTCCTCAGGTTCCTTCATAAATAAAGGTTTGTCTTCTTGTTGAATCCATTCCTGATACACCTTCACCACCTTCCTCATGGCAGCTGCTTCACATATTGGCAACAGAAACGCCTGAGAGTAGACAAAAAAAGAAACAAAACACAATTACAATACTTGAAATAAGTTGGGCTCTATAATATACAAGTKCTAAGAGATCTAAGGGTGGAATAATAGGATCTTAAAACACAAGYTATTTCTAAACCTAAATGTTTGCTCACTTTCTTCATATGTAAGCTGAAAACATGAGAAACCCTCACATTTGAACAAGAAAACTWGTCAAGAAATAGTTTGATAACTTAATTGCCTGAGGGAGAGATATGAGAATCCAAATCTACTTAGCACCTAGCCTGCYGAAATTAAGATCCAAAACCCCATCAAAATATGCAAAACAAATTGGCAGAAGTTTCTATGACAACAACTTTTATTCAGAGGATTTGGAAGAGTAGAGTTAACCAGTTCTAAATGATAAAAAAAAAATCCAAGTGACAAACAACATGRTAGTCGTCTATCTTCCTTTTAGCTAAGTGAGACTTTACAAAACAGTATCCTTAAAACAAATGACTCTTTGAAAAGATTTCAGAATTATGTTTCTAAAAATCATGCATTTGAGTTGGTGTGATGGCTGATCAGTGCCCTCTTCAGTAGGTTTTCTGTATCAGCTGTGCTGGTAACAAGTGGTCATAGAATAGAAACATTCAACATTATTCAGATTTTCACTAACTATAAATACATTTACCAATGACCATGATGCACATGGCTCACTTAACACCAGTTGTATGTTCTCTCTAAAAACAGACATTTCATACCATTATAACTCTAAAAAAATTAAGCTGTGTATTACAGGATCAAATTGACAAGTTCAACCTTACACTTACTCATAAAGTCTAACATTCTTTGGCAAGCCCATATACATTTTTTGTACCCTGAAGACTAAAATGCAAAAAAGGGGTTCCCAACAGACAATCTTTTCACCTCTCAGTACAACTGAAACCTCCTCTTGACTGGAATAACTTAGTCCTAACATCTTAGAAACATTATAAACACTTTGTATGTTAGAAATTAATTTACACTGAAAACTGTCTAAATAATGATGTAAATAAGGTCTYGTAATTGCACATAAAATCCAAATAATCCACATGACTCATGGAACGCCTTGTGAGAAGAATGAAGGAAATTGCCTTTGCTTTTTTTTCACTGTGGGGACAGTTTCTAAAAAGACCATTGATAATTTAGCCTCTACATTCAATATTTCAGACTCTGTAAACCCCTGAGTGTCAGCTGAATTTGGGTAACTTTCCTATATTCTTCAGTAATGTGTCCAAGCTCTTCAATACAAGGCATGTGAATAAACTTCTGGCATTTATCTGCCTCATTCAAAACATCCATTTCATCCAGATAAAAGAGTTCTAAAATGTTCAGGTCTCTGCTCTTTAAAGCAATTAGTGCATTTAACTTGAAATTTAGGATATTTTTCTTTACTATTATTCAGAAAACTCCCTATCTTTTGATCCATAGCATGGGGCATAAAAAAAGTTTATCTTTTTCTAGTCTTCCCCATTGAACTCGAAGTTGCTATAAATAAAGATTCCATATTCTGGCATATGTTCTMAGTTTGAATTTAATAGTTTCCAGTCAAGATATACTATTTTGAGTGTGCTCAGCTAACATTTCTGGTTGTAGTGACATCAGAAACAGAAGCTGCTACCTTCTATAGCCACCTGTCCTACTCTTCTGATGAACACTATTGAGGTAAGGACATTTGGATGCTCTTAAAACAGCTCTTTAACAGCTGCAAACTCCTACAGGAGGCTTATGTTAATATGGTTGGTTGTGAGTTCTAATACCTACAGAGTTGATGTATGAAAAGATTAAATATTGCTGTCTATGAGGAACTGTGAAGTCCAAGTTAAATGTTGTCAAACAGGCTGTTAAAGACACAAATTTAGAAAAATCAGGAACTGGGGATATTCTACACAGAAAATACTTCAGAATTTCAGCTTTTCGATTTTTGAAGGCAAGATGATAGAAAAAACCTTTAACTTGGTCTAATGTTCTGCTTAACAAATGCTCTTCAAAGAAAACCATGACATAATGAAAATTTACAATATAATAATCCAAATTGTTGCATTCAAGAGAGAGTTTTTTACCTGTCGGAAAATCTCAGTTAGAAAATTAACATTGCTTCTTTTAGAAGAAAAAGCTTTCCGGACGATTTCAATATCAGTTAAGTGCTCTTCATCAATACTGCAGAGGCTGGAAGAACTTGGTTCCCTCTCTGTTAGAGTACTTGTATTAGAATGAGATTGTTCTGGTTCTGCATTTCTATCCTGCTTATCAGTACTGTCATTTTTGCTGTCCTCCCTTGAAGCCATGCTAGCAGCTGCTCTCTGAAACAAAATTTTAAAATATTCCATAGATAATTTTTAGCGCAAATAAAAAAAGTAGARTTTAAGTTATATGACAGTATAATGTAAAACAATACAAATAATTAAAGACAAACAATAAAAATGGATTTACTGCATTTCAAGGCTTCTAAAGCTAGTTGATTAAAAACAAATTGCAGAATTTGAAAAAACAAAGCAGCACTGCAGGTCCTTTTAAAGTGAATTCATTTATGAAAAATTTGTTTAGAAATCCATTTTTTTAACTTTTCATTAGTTATAATTATCAGAGAAGAGAATACTGCCAACACAACAATTAAAAACATGAAAACAAACACATTTCTGTCTATTTGGTTTTACCTGAATATTCTTTGGCACATTTTCACCTTCCATCCCAGGAATATGAGGTCCTGTATGAGGTTTTGGCTCAAGCCAGAAAGACACCAACCATCGAATGACGATAACACGAGCCTTAATGAAAGGTTCCTTTGTGCAATATATTGCCTCATTGGTTTCAGCATCTTTCTTAACTATTACATAGTGTGGCTTTGGTCTCATTTGTGGTATATCTGTAAGGAAATACAACRTCTTAAAAATATGTGCAGAGAGAAAGATCTGCATAGGAAAGGAATCCTAAAGCCATAACCAACACACATGAACCTTCAGAGTAGTTTTATTGCATTCACTGTTGCACCACTCATTCCAAGACGTGCTGGAATGGATGTAACAGAGAAAATATTGAGACTTGTAAGACATCAAAACACTTGAATTTTCTCCTAAAGAGAGAGAACACTATTGGTCCAAAAGCCAGAAACTTATTTCTGCTATGCAGAACCTCAAGTTTTTTATCTGAAAATTATTTAAGGCGATAAATTATATAAGGYGATAGCCTTATATTTTTGTTTGCATTTTTTTATGCACAAGTAAACACATTTCATTATTTTCAGGTTCTTTTAAGCTATGTTATACTCAATATTTACAGATAAATTTAGCAAACTCACTATTTCAAATTTTCATTGAAAACTAAAAAGTTCCAAGTAGCAAAATAATTGTCAACTATAACCTTTACAAGAAAACTGTTTTCATATGAAATTAATATATTGTCAAATCTAATCATAGCTCCAGTGGAAGATATATCATTCCAAAATGCAAATGAAATAAACACAGCCTCTTCTGGACCTGCAATAGGTGAAAGATGAATAGAGCAGAGAGTCCTGTTCCAAAACCACATGAGCTTTGCTGCTGCACGTAGTGTCTCATCTGCAYGGGCTAATTTTGCTGCCAGACCACACACACATACAACTTCCTATGACTTAGCAGAAAGATGACTCTGTGGCAACAGCTTCTGTACTGGCTTGCAGGGAATGTAAGGAAGCATGTTCAGGGGCACACCAGCTGGCAGGAACTGTGGTTATTTGGGACCTATAAGTGACAACTTCATTTGCAGCATTCCATGTTCTGCATGATAGTTCAGAACTGTTTAACTTTTCATGTTTTCTACTGTGCTAAAGTCATCAGTATTCCTGAATCTGCTTTAGAAAAGAATGGGACAGTAYTTAATAACTCGATGTGGATGGAACGAACATGTGTGGTAAAAGCATTACAAAGACGAGGACACATATGGATTACATTTTTAAATTGTGCATTTTTCTGTGACTCAATACTGCAGAATATAATTTCTGGGTTTTACAAGCAAGACATAGTGCCGAACAATTTWGCATCAATCATCAACCCGAAGCAGCAATGGTACTTTCACGAGCAACTGACATTTCCCTGAAAGTGGCATGCCAACCAACTCTAGTCCTAGTTCTCTAAGGGCAAATATGAGACATGATCCCARACAAAAGAAGATGAATATTTGTCTGAGGACTGATTATGATATATGCTCTCCAAACACCCTGATGCTAGTGTTTCAACATCATGATTTTCTTCTAGTGACAGCACAAAAACACTCAAACCAAAACAAACACAATATACATAAAAAACCCCAACTAAAAAAAAAAAAAAAAGGAAGAAGAGGAAGTT